CGTTTAATTACATTATACCCTCTCGTCTTTTTTTGATGTCGACGGTTTCGTTTTTCCATTTTTTTTTCCATGAATTTCCATTTAATTACTCGGATTAGAATTTTTTTATTAAAATTTGGAAATTTAAAAAGTTTTTTTTTATAATTAGGATTTATCCGAACCCTCTGAAAATCTAATATGAATTCGGATATTAAATGGAGTATCATTTAAACATCTATAAGTGACTAAATAGAACGGTAAAATAATTTTATGTTTGCCACTATATTCTAATAGAATACTTATGCTTTTCCAAATTTTATAATATTTTTAGTTTCTTACAACTACTTCATAAAAGTTATAGTTAGCTAAGCTTCTTTGGTTACCTAATTATCTTTCAATATAAAGAAAATTCTTCTAAATTTATTCTTGAATATACAATATTATTATTACATCCGAAATGTAAACTAAGTTATTTCCTCGTTCAATATTAAACGGTAATAAATAAATATATTGATTTTCATTTTTACCCTAAATTTCGGTAATATTACCGTCGTGCCCAAAGGCTGCTCTCACTTTTACTTTAATCGCACTTTCAGGTCAGTTTACAACCAAACGTAACTAATTACATTTAAATTCCAATCATAAAATCATTTTAAATAAAAAAAAATAAAGTAAAAGAAGTATTTGCACGTTTGACCTTTGACCGGTCGATTTATTAAGACTCTCCTTTGAATAAATTTTCAACGGCGTGCTCTTTTTGCCGTTGGGAATCTCTCCTATGATTAAATATTTTAATTAAAAAAAATTCTAACCATCAACATTATTAATTAGCAAATAATAATAAAACGGTCCATGAGCAAATTATTGATAATGATTCGTGGCTAAATCTAGTCCAATAAATCACTAATGTTAGGGACTGAATTGTAATATTCAACTTTTTTACCTTTTTGTAGCATGCCCTACATTAAGCCAACTTGGCAAATATTATGAGGTTTTTCGCATTACCATTATTATTTTCTGCCAGCCATTATTTCAATTTCATTATTCATTTAAAAAAAACTAATTCACAAAATGGTTGGTCTTAATCATGCCGTTTCTATAAACAATTTATAAATGCATACGTTTAAAAGGA